TGCTTAATATTTTTCCTGTGCATTAAGAAGTCTCATAGAAATTGATTTTTATATTTGCTTTTAGCCTATAGGTTATTAATAGTGTAAATAATGGGTGTTTTTGCCAGGTACTAAGCTAAGAAATTGAAAATATTTCATTTAATCATCACAGCAACTTTGTGATTTAGGCTTGTCTTTCGTAGATGAGGAAATGGAGGGAACAGTTAAATAATTTAAATGAGGGTGGAGCCATGATGTGACCTTGGACCTACTCTCCTTACCTGTGAATGCCTTTGGGGGTAATATTGAATCTCAGCATTGCATTACAAGGCAACTAAGGGAGATGGTTGTAGATTTTTATCTTTTCCTATAAGTAATATTGTTTTGGTGTAGAAAGATAAAGATTTAGGATGTAGAAATGGAATTCCTTCTGAAGAGGTTGCTTTTCCCTCTCCCTACTTACTTAGATGATTGTTTTAGTAACTACTCTTTGCAGTGCGTCCTATGGGGATATAGAGACCAAGGAGAGTGTGTAAACAAAATAAACTCTTGCCTTTGAGCTGAGATATGCGTCATTAATGTTGAGTTCACAAATGTACTTTCACAGGGTCAGAGAAATCTTGAAAGATAGGGGATTTGAGCCAGCAGAGTTTTCTTTAAGTTGTGAACTTTAAATAAATAAATAATTCTAAAATCATGATGAAATATTTACTGCTTAAGTACTTCTGTAGTATGATGTTAATTATGACCCTCTTTTTTAAAATATATTTTTATTGATTTCAGAGAGGAAGGAAGAGAGAGAGACAGAAACATCAATGATGAGAGAGAATCATTGATTGGCTGCCTCCTGCACGAGCCCACAACCTGGTCATATGCCCTTGACTGGAATCGAACCTGGGACCCTTCAGTCCACAGGCCGACGCTCTATCCACTGAGCCAGACCAGCTAGGGCTATGACCCTTTTTTACATGTGCTGTGCGAGCCTGTGTTTTCCTGAGTAAGTTTTGTGTAAGCTGTGTAACATCTGTGCTCTTGCTTCGGTCCCCAGAGGAAGGCTGTTTCCTGCCATTGCTGAGACTTACATATGGTGCTCTTGGGGTAGTAGGTTACAACTACTCTTCTCACCTATTGTATTATTTATCTGGCACTGATAATGTTCCTCCTTGCATTGCAAGTATCAACAATGTATTGCTATTAGTTTAAAAGAGGAGAATATTGGATTGATGGGAAAGATCTGATAGTGATTTTTGTTTATTGCAGAAAATGCTTTGTGTACTATAAAACTAACTCAACATATTTTGCATTGGTTCATCTATCTATTGGTCATTTATACTATATTAGGAAGTAACATTAATGTTAAGATCAGAAATAGAAAAAGTTGACATAAAACAGTTTGTGTTACATAGAAAGCCATATACCAGAAGGTCTACTTATTTCATAGAAAATTCATTAAAGTACAATATTAGAACGAGAAACTTTTGGTGCTATGTAGAGCAATAGATAAATTTAAACTGTAAGTGTATTGGTATTTGTATGGATGCTATCTTGGTCATTTACTTAAATATTTATTTTAAAAAAAGTTAAAAAATATTAATGATTTGAATGGTCATAGTGTGAAAAAAAACCTTGGTGTGCAGTCCTATAGGGTCTATCATCCTATGTTGTCATTAATCTAGGGCTAAAAAAGTTTGACCAAATTGGAAGTTGTCCTCTTGTTTTTTTGTGTGATTTTTAAGGAGGGAAAAGGTTGCTTTAGTTCAGTGGTTCCCTAGTTTTTTGCTCTCAAGACCCCTTTTCACTCTTAAAACATGTTGAGACAACCACAAAGAACTTTTAAATGAATGGCATTGTTTTACATTTTTGTAAATCTTACTAATGTCTGGCTTAATAGAAAACACCTGGGTTCTCTTATCTGTTTTTGCATTCATTCTATTGTATGTTTTGGTTGTAGAATATAAAGAAAATCTGGCTTCACACAGCGAGGTAGGAGGAAAAAGAGGAGTACTTACTAGGCTTTTTAGATAAGTGTGGATCTTCTTTGACATTGTACCCAAACTTGACAAGTTGTAGTTTCATCGAGTTTAGTTCCAATGTGGAATCTAAAACCATATCAATGAACCTTTTGTACTGTTAGGTCAGTAATTTTCAATCACTTAGTGTGCCACAAGCAATTTTGAAACATGCAATACCTGACTATTTAGTCAGGGGTACTGACCTCTTTTCCCTTAGATACTCAAATGAAAAAATAACAGCCAACGACAATAGCCATCCAGTGTGAATGAATCAAAATTACACCTATTTTTTTTGTCAGATCAGCAAAAAAAATATTTTTTTGGTGCGCTGCAGGATTTTAGTACTAATTAGTATGCCATGAGATGAAGAGGGTTGAAAATCACTATTAGGTTAAAATCTATTGGTCTGTCTTGCGCTTACTTTTTTTTTTCTTTTTTATTTTTAAAATATATATTTATTGATTTTTTTACAGAGAGGAAGGGAGAGGGATAGAGAGTCAGAAACATCGATGAGAGAGAAACATCGATCAGCTGCCCCCCGCACACCCCCCACTGGGGATGTGCCCACAACCAAGGTACATGCCCTTGACTGGAATCGAACCTGGGACCCTTGAGTCCGCAGGCCGACGCTCCATGCACTGAGCCAAACCAGCCAGGGCTTGAGCTTACTTTTACCTGTGCATGAGTTTCTCACATGCATTGATCATTTGGTCATTTACTGAGTTTCCCAGATCTTCTAAATGTTTACACATTTCATTGTATGGTATCAAAAATTTACATTTGTTAATATCAGCAGTAGTATATTTAATTAGAAATGACTTTTTAAAGTAATGGGAATATGTTCAAGTTCATGATGGTGGATACAAGTTTTCAAAATACTTATTTTTTGCTTGACAACCCAGATTTTATAATTGGCAATAAACATTGTCAGTGGTTTTTCTTGAAGGGACAGGTTCACTTTGTTCATTTTTGAGAAAATGTCTGCTAACTACATAAGTAGTTCTGCCAACTAAAAATAGTGTTAGATGAGAAAAGCTTCTAGTTCAGCTTTCAATCAGTTGTACAGGTGCTTTTTCTCAGACTACTACTTTTTGTTGTTAATTCTTATCCGAGGATATTTTTTCCTTTTTTTTTTTTTTTTTTTTTTTAGAGGGAGAGGGAAAGAAACATTGATGTGAGAGAGACACATCGATTGGTTGCCTACTGCACGAGCCCCGACGGCTGGGGGTCGAACCTGCAACCCAGGTATATGCTCTTGATTGGGAATCCAACCTGAGACCCTTCAGTGGGTGTGCCAATGCTCTAACCACTGAGCACACAGACCAGGCTCTCAGACTTATTAAAGCTTCAGTAGTAATTTATGTGTACTGTACCTTTCATCATGAAGAATATTTTAAAAAGTAGAGTAGAGATTTAATAAATTTATAATTTTCATAATTTTGTCAAGGACATTGATAAATGGAACTAGCTTTTTTAAAAAAATTCTAACCCAAGGACATGTTTATTGATTTTCAGAGAGAGAGAGATATAGAGGGGGGGCGGGGGAGACAGACAGACAGACACGGATAGATAGACATTGATGTGAGAGAGACATGATTCGGTTGCCTCCTGTATGTGCCCTGACCGTGAATTGAACCTGCGACTTTTCTGGTACACAGGTGCTCAGCCTTGTTTTTGTACCCTCATTGCAAATATCAACAGAAAAAAAAATTTAAAAAGGCAAATAATTTTTAGGATTACTATGAAAATAGCTCTCTTGGACCCCTAAAATGGTCTTTGAGCTCCCAAGAAGTCTGTAGACCACACTTTTAAGAACAGTTGGCTTAGTTCTTTACATAGATTTTCTTTTGCTCTCAAACCAAATAGAGGCAAATGACTGAGGCTTTTAGCTTAGATTACTAAATGAAAGCAATACCATTACCAGAGATAATAAATCTGGTTGAGGAGTAAGTATTGAAAGAAGAAAGTGAATTTTGATTTCCAGGGAGCTTGAGGAACATAGAGGTGGGAATGTTGACTAGTGCAACTCAGCAAGTTTTTCTGAGTATTAGGAGGCCTCACTATACATACTAGAGGTCTCACTGTACTAGTACATACTAGTGGTTGTTGAGAAGGAAGTGGGTTCAGCGAGAAGAGGACAGAAGAAGGAACCTTGGTATCAAGGACATCAGGAAAGGAGAATTTCAAGAATGATTGGTCAGCACTACCTAATGCTTTAGAGAAGTCAGATAGATTGGGGATTGAGACTTAACCATTGAGAATTGATAATGAGATTACTGGTAACTTCTGCCAGAGCAGTAGGAGCCAGATTAGAGTGCAGAGGCAGCTATTTATATTATTCTTTTAGGAAGTTTTGGAGTGAAGGGAAGAGACAACTTGGGCAGTTAATTTGAGAGGTAGGTTGTACTGAGGACAATAAAGAAAGCTGACAAGTGTGATCCAGTTAAGCTTGTAGTTTGAGCTGTCTTGCTGAGATGTGAGAAGCTGCTGAACACTGGATTGTTTGGCCAGAAAAATACACCGATCTATGACATTTGGCATATGAACTTTTTGGTGGGATGGCAAGTTCTTACTAATTCTTTTCTGTTTAATTGCTAGATGTTTAGTTTGCTTCATTTGCTTTAAATGCACTCATTTTAAGAAGTTTAAAGAGATTTTTCTCTTAAATGAAGGTGATTTGACTTTAATAATCTGCGATTCTCTCAGTGTAGAACTTCTGTTTTAGCTACTTTGAATCCGTGGTAACAAGTGACAAAAAAAGTGGAATTCTTTCTCTTGTACAGAAGAGTATATGTGCGCGTGCTCTCTCTCTCTCCCCTCCTCCTTCTTTCCTCCCTTCCTTCCCCCCCTCTCCCCCTCCCCCTCCTTCCTCTGATGAAGGATATTCAGGTCTCCAGAGTGAATGTGACTGGAGGCAGAGTTTGGATTATAGCCTCAAGTAGTATTTGTATGAAAAATGTTGTCTATTATGCTTGTATTTCTAACTTCCTTTTGTTCTTTTTTTTCTAGTCTGTTCTCTGGGGAGGCAGAAAGGGGCCGTGGAGCTGGCCTCGGCACCGGGAGAGGCTGGACTTCCTGTCTCTCTGTGCTGAATGGCTGCGATGGCGCCCGCTCTCACTGACGCAGCAGCTGAAGCACACCATATCCGGTTCAAACTGGCTCCCCCATCCTCCACTTTGTCCCCTGGCAGTGCCGAAAACAACGGCAACGCCAACATCCTTATTGCTGCCAACGGAACCAAAAGAAAAGCCATTGCTGCAGAGGATCCCAGTCTAGACTTCCGAAATAATCCTAAGGAAGATTTGGGAAAGCTGCAACCATTGGTGGCGTCTTATCTCTGCTCCGATGTAACACCTGTTTCCTCGAAGGAATCGTTGAAATTGCAGGGTGTCTTCAGCAAGCAGACAGTCCTTAAATCTCACCCTTTCTTATCTCAGTCCTATGAACTCCGAGCTGAGCTGTTGGGGAGACAGCCAGTTTTGGAGTTTTCCTTAGAAAATCTTAGAAGCATGAATACGAGTGGTCAAACAGCTCTGCCACAAGCACCTGTAAATGGGTTGGCTAAGAAATTGACTAAAAGTTCAACACATTCTGATCATGACAATTCCAGTTCCCTCAATGGGGGAAAACGAACTCTTACTTCATCTTCTCAGGGGGGTGAAATGGTGGCATCTGAATCAGGGGACTTGAAGAGGGGTATGACCAATTGCACTCTTCCACATAGAAGCCTTGATGTAGAACACACAACTATATTTAGCAATAATAGCACTGCAAACAAATCTTCTGTAAATTCCATGGAACAGCCAGCACTTCAAGGAAGCAGTAGGTTATCACCTGGCACAGACTCCAGTTCTAACTTGGGGGGCGTCAAGTTAGAGGGTAAAAAGTCTCCCCTGTCTTCCATTCTTTTTAGTGCTTTAGATTCTGACACAAGGATAACAGCTTTACTACGACGGCAGGCTGATATTGAAAACCGTGCCCGCAGATTACAGAAGCGCTTACAGGTTGTGCAAGCCAAGCAGGTGGAGAGGCACATTCAGCATCAGCTGGGTGGATTTTTAGAGAAAACTTTGAGCAAACTGCCAAACTTGGAATCCCTGAGGCCCCGAAGCCAGTTGATGCTGACTCGAAAGGCTGAAGCTGCATTGAGAAAAGCTGCCAGTGAGACCACCACTTCAGAAGGACTTAGTAACTTCCTGAAAAGTGATTCCATTTCAGAAGAATTGGAGAGATTTACAGCTAGTGGTATAGCCAGCTTGAGGTGCAGTGAACAAGCATTTGACTCAGATGTCACTGACAGTAGTTCAGGAGGAGAGTCTGATATTGAAGAGGAAGAACTGACCAGAGCTGATCCTGGGCAGCGTCATATACCTCTGTGAGTAGAACCCATGCATAATGACATTCTTGAGAGAGGGAACACAGGAGAAAGACTTGGTGAATTCCCATCACGGGGAGAATGGGATTCTTTGTTTATAAGTACCTAGATTCCATTTGTCTTTTTTCTAATTTTAGGTAGGTGAATGCATATATTGTTAGTGACGAAATGGAAGATATTTCTGGTATAGTTGCTGTAGGCTAAAAGCTGCTAATTTATTTTTAAAATCTAATTTATTAAAAATAGACATCTATTTGTAAAACTGTACTCATTCTTTGAGTGAATAGATTTTTTTTTGAAGCTGGACATAAGTTATTTTTATAAGTTTCTATGACTTGACTTCAGAATTTGTTGCTTCTAGTAGATGGGGACAGAAATTTAGTTGACCTAGTTCACTTTGCTGGAGTTTATAGTTGGTTTAATTGAGCTTTCAGTTGAGAATGTACCCCGTCTTCACTTGTAACACTTGGCGGTTTCCTCTCCTTTTTAAGGACTAATAATCAGAAAATGCTCTATTTTATAGGTTACATCTAAGCACAATTCACTTTTTCACAACTTGTCTCTACCTAAAATAGCCTATCTTTGTCAGATTTGGATTTTATTTTCTCTCAGCTGAGTTAAATGTATTAGCTTATTTGGGATAAATTCTTATTGGTGTTTCCAAATCTGTTTGTTTGAAGAAAATTCTGCATAAGCTTTGAGTGGCACTCAGTTGGTGTGGTGGAGCTCATATACTTTGCTCCTAATTCTGCATTTGGCTCCTTATGGATTAAATAGGAAGTACTGTATATAAATATATCTCCTTAAAGATAAATCAGTCTATGCCCTAACCGGTTTGGCTCAGTGGATAGAGCGTCGGCCTGCGGACTGAAGGGTCCCAGGTTCGATTCCGGTCAAGGGCATGTACCTTGGTTGCGGGCACATCCCCAGAGGGGGGTGTGCAGGAGGCAGCTGATCGATGTTTCTCATCGATGTTTCTAACTCTCTATCCCTCTCTCTTCCTCTGTAAAAATCAATAAAATATATTAAAAAAAGATAAATCAGTCTACTTTTTAAAAAATTCTCAGTCAAGGATATGTTTTTATTGATGAGAGAGAGAAACAGACATTCATGTGAGAGAGAAACATCGGTCAGTTGCTTCCCATATGCACCCCAACCAGGGATTGAGCCTATAACCTTGGTATGTGTTCTGACCAGGAATCACACCGGCAACCTCTTGGTGTACAGGACAACACTCCAACCAACTGAGCCACCTGGCCAGGGCAATCAGTCTATATTTTATCTACTTAAAAGTGCTAAACTTGTGAAAAAGGGAAACATGATAATTTGGAAAAGATGGGCAGGATAGTTGACTAGCAAATCCTCTCTCATTTCTACTTTGGGTAGGGATTTTGTAAAGGTTGATTTATTAGAGAAGGCTCAAATAGGTGGCTATGTTGGAATAATTGTTTTTTCCTTGCCTGTAGTAAAAAAGGTAACTAAGATTTTCACTGGAGACTTAATTGAGGCAGCTGTACTTTTAAGTTTAAGTAAATTTCCTTTTTTCTTAAATGGATTACTAGTTTACATCACCTTGTATTTGTGGCATTATCCCTACTGACTTTGCTGCATAAACCATTGCTTCAAAAAAATCTTAATGTTAGCCTATCCAGTTTGGCTCAATGGATAGCGTGTCAATCTTCGGACTGAAGGGTCCCGGGTTTGATTCGGTCAAGGGCAAATGCCTGGGCTGCAGGCTTGATCCCCAGTAAGAGGGCATGCAGGATCAAGCCTGCAATCAATGATTCTCTCATCATTGATGTTTTAGTCTCTCCTCTCTTCCTCTCTCTGAAATCAACAAAAATATGTTAAAAAAAATCTTAGTTAATGTTGAATTTTTTTGTGTTTTAGAGTAATTTCATATAACAAATACTGTAGTTGAAGCATGTTACTTACATGTGCTTGTTTTGTGTATTTGAGAAAATAATCTAGAAGCTTACTGTTTTCAGTATACCTTGTATTGAAAAAGTTTTTAAGTTTTGGTAATGTGGGTAACTTTAATCCAGTGAAATAAAAATAACTAAGAGAGAACTTTTTTTTATTCCATAGGATAATTTAGTGATTTGAAAAGACCTTAGTCTCTTCACTCACTACTTAGTTCTGGGCCTTCTCATATAATGAATGGTTTGTTGATTTGGAAGAGTGTGAAGTGCAAGGACAGTTCACAGATATTTTAGGGATCAGTTGAACCCACTTACAATTTAAGAAAAATATGGAGAACTAAAGATACTGTGAAGTAAATATACTTTTGTACATTTTTATGTAATTGAATCAAAATTTAAAGCACCAATACACCACTACTTCAAAGATCTTGTTGAGCAAGGCCAACAGATTGACTCCTAATGCAAGTATCTAGCCAGGTGTTTTATTTATCTTTTAATTATGCATATATATATATATAGAGAGAGAGAGAGAGAGAGAGAGAGAGAGAGAGAAAGAGAAAGAGATTGATTGATTGAGATTGATTTGTTGTTCCACTTAATTATGCATTCATTGATTGATTCTTGTATGTGCCCTGACCAGGAATTGAACCTGCAACCAACCTTGTTGTATTGGGAGGCCGCTCTAACCAACTGAGCTACCCAGTCATGGTGGTAGGCAGGTGTTTGTTGACCATCTGAGTGTTTTAAAGATTTTTCAGTAATTGGCCAGACAATGAGAATGGAGGTATTGCTTTGATTAAAAAAGAAAAAGAGGGAAAGTCTTTGGATGCTGAGAAGCCTTTTCTTAGTGATCTAGTAGTCCATTCCAAATCCCATAACCACATTTAGAATTCTTGAGTCCTAGAATAAATAAAACTGGTGAGTTTAAACTTGTTTTCCCTTTTTGGTAGTCTGTCTAATATTTCACTCCTTTACTGAAGTATTTCTGCCAGAGATAAAGTTGCTCTTGTACTAAATATTTTCAGCCATGATGAAAATATTTAGTACAGGATACTGTTGAAATGAAATGTTTTGAAATAATGCTGCTTATAAATTATAAGTGGATGGTTCTGTGAAAATTGCAAGCCTTCACTAAGAATTCATTTGTTTTTTTCTTTTCTAACTCTTTTTTTTTTATCCATTCCAATGGAGTGTCTTTTTTTTTTACTTTTTTTTAAAATATATTTTTTATTGATTAAGATATTACATATGTGTCCTTATCCCTACATTATCCCCACCCCCCGCTCATGCCCTCACCCCCTCCCGCCTGTTGTCCATGTCCATTGGTTAGGG